TATATTTTATTTTATATATATATATATATATATATATATATATATATATATATATTCACTCATGCAAATATTTTTAAAAATAAAATAAAGTTAGGTTGTCAAGACCCATCACTAATATAGGTTCATCCCCATACGTGATTATTCATTTCTTTGGTGGATAACCTTAAGCTTATATAAGCTAATTTTATAGAGTTGACTAAAGCCAAAACCTAAATTATATGATGTTATTAGAGCATATTCTAGCTATTGTCGTTTCGCATAATGGGTCACCATTATTGAGATGCCTTCACATATAAATGTTTAGTCCTTCACACACTTGAAATGACCAATTTTTTATGTGAAAGAGTACTCACATCATTTAATAATGTGGCTGAAGTAATGTATTATGGAGAAAAGAAAGACATTAGAATGGGGTGGAATAGTATCAATTAAAAACTCATACTTTTTCAAAATAGTGAAATAGTAACAAAATTGTAGGAGTGCAAATGAAAGAATGAGTTAGAAGACCACAAAGTATTTTTATATTGGTTTATCTTAACTACTGAGACTATGTACAATTTTTTATCAAACTCAATCAAGTTCTAGTATCTTTACCAATATACAAGTATTCTTTTACAAGCCACTTTTAGCTCAACCTAAATATTCTTTGACTTGTCTCTTCAACTAACTACCCAATTATTCTTTAACACAGCTTTTCCAAGCTTCAAATAACCAAGTATTCTTATATAGACAAGTCTCTTTAGGCTCAAAGGAACCAAATATTTTCTTACAGTCAGGCCCTCTTCAAACTCAAAGTAATAACACAAAGTTAAAGTCGAGTAAGATAATTGTGTTGTCCGTCTTACTTTCAAGACATGATACAACAATATTAAGCACAAGGTTTATTGTTACATCCCGAATTTTCTACTAGTATAATGATTAATCATTATTTATTTTTATATTTATGGAGATTATTTTCTTATAGCTATTTTAATGGGTTTTATAGAATGTTTTAAAGGTTTTTAATAATTATGAGTATTTTAATAATAAATATTTATGAAAATTATTTTTGAATAATATTTTAATTTTTAGTAGCCAGAACGGACTGTTCTCAAATTGGAATGGGTCATTCCAGACTACTAAAATGGCCTATAAAGATTCAAAAGAAAAAAAAGGCACACAATGAAACTAATGACATATAAAGACTAAATAAGACAACTAGACAAAACTACATGGAATAAAAAATTGAAAAAACACTTAATCATACTTTTGTGTTAGAATCTTTTTTGACTAAAAATTAATAGATTCAATCAAGATATAAGCAAGACCAAAAAAATAAAATGCTAGTTCATATAATATAAAACACTCAATGAAGATTGATCCATATGAATGGATGCATGAATCAAAAACTACTAGACAAAGTGTATTATTCTATAGATTTATATATGTGAAATAAAAACAATTCTAACACATACAAACACAATACAATCAAGGAATATACATTGTGGCCGAATCAAAAACTCAAAGAAGCTATGGAAAGAGTTTACCAAGAAAACCTTGCTCTAATACCAAATGATGGAAACCTTAGGGAGAGACAAAATTGATGTAGTTTCTTCTTCAAGCTTCTTGGACAGATCTTTCACTTCTTGGACTCCTTCAAGCTCCTTCAATGCCTTCCATTGATGTTAGAAGTCATTTCTAACACACAATAAAAGGTAGGATCTCCCTTAGGTGACACCACACTCTTGAAGAGTGACAATTCTCTTCAATTTCTCACCACACTCAAGAGAAGATAAAAGAAAAGGAAGAATTTCAAAGAGAGAAACAAGCTTTGAGAGAGAGAATTAGAAAGAAAATTTCACCCAATTCCAATAATACTAAAAAACTATTCAGCCAATACAAGAAAAAAATATTATATAGAGTCTAGTTGACTTATGGTGCAAGCTAGACTAACAATGGTTAGCTATCTTGTACTTAAATTAACCAACCCTAGTTAAGCATTTAAATACATTTCATCAAATTGTCACTTCTTATATGATAAAAAAAATACTTATCATCTTTTAGGTACCAACCAAAATAAAGGAACCATGTGTGTGTAAGTTAGAAGTAGCTTTTCTTGTAGTTTTGTGTGCTTTACGGGATTTGATAGTTCTTTTTTTAACGCAAAGCATGTTTTTAGTTCCTTTAGTGATTTGTGAATATTGAAAGAGCTTTTCCTTTTGATTATTTAAGAAATCATGTAAACATAGATTTTGTTATCAGACATCATAAATGATATACATATAGATGAAGTGTTTTGTTAATGAGACTTAATGTCCTAATAATTGATCGTCTTATTTTTATTTGTATTAAAGTTTGATTTGAAAAATCTTTTATCTTAGAAAAACATCTATGTTTTTTATCATTAAAACTTAAAGTCTAAGAGATCTAAGATCGTATTTTATCCTAACAAAAATATGACAAATTAAAGCCATGTGATTAACAATTTGAATTGAATTTGAATGATGCCAAGTGTACCACTTTTGGCCGATCACATATGTATTATAATTCAATTTAGTTGTTAATTTTTGGCCCAAAAATAAATTGCACTTCCTAGGCCCAAAATTATGCACCAAATAAAATATACGAGAAATTATTAATTTACTTGGCCAAAAAATACAAGCCTAAATATATAAGAAACTATACACATACACAAGAGACATTGGGCTTATGTATGTAGTAGCTTATAAGCTTAGGCCCACTAACCTCATTTTGGGTCAATCCTCTTGGATCTTTCTAGTTGTAGCCCTAGTAATAACGAGACCTTTGGTCATGCCTCTTCCATCAAAAGGTACATTTTGTCTTCATCTTCTATCTCTTGCCTCGCTTCTACTTGATTTGATTCCTCTAACACCACAAAATGGGTAGGGCAGATGCAAAAAGTATTCCAACACTTAAGTAAGATATTTACTCGATATAATAAACGCAAATATTAATGAACAATAGTTTATTACCTCAATATGCATCACCATTTATACTAACCATGATGGATCCTAACCTGATGGGCCCTAGTTTGAGATTACCAAATAGGTAATGTGTGCCTTAATCCTTGTTTCATCATGGTTAGACTTAATTATCTTGTTAACCTTATTTGTACCAAACATTTGTTTAGTGTCTTTAGTCGCCAAAAGTGTTGAATGATCTAATTCTATAGTTGTTTTTGCATCATTGGTTACCGATAAGATTTGCCATGGTGGGAGACTTTATCTCATGAGGTATGTTTATTTGGCAACTCAAGTGATTTGTAAGATCAGGATGGTCAAGGGTCGAGTACCTATCTTATTGATGGTTAGGCACCCTTAGCTATTCATAGGGTTTTTGGTAGTGGAGGGTGTCGATTTATATTAGTAGTAGTGGTCTTCAGTTAATTAAAGTCCATTTGGTATAAAGTTCATTTAAGATGTATTATGTGTTGTATTGTGTGTAGTATTTTTAATTTAATTTAATAATTTATTATAAGTCAGATTGGTTAAAGTTATCAGATAATAATCCCCTTGACCCATAACCCAACCCAATTATAATTGATTAACAAAAAAAAAAAATCAACCCAACCCATAAAAACATAAGTGGGTTGATTTTGGCATGTTAAGTTCGCATGTATATCATTACCTACTTATACTCCTAAGTATTAACATGGGTTAACATGATACTAATATGTTAACATGATATTTTAGAAACTAAATTTATACAATTACAATATTTTAGGATCTAAATTAAATAATTATTTTAGTCTCATTTTTCTTCTCTTTGATTATTTTTTGAATTTTTTTTAATATTTTCATTTATTTAAACAAAATTGAGTAACACATGTTATGAAAATATAATGGTATCTTCTTTTAACCTTTCTTCAAGTTTTATTAAAGCTTTTTTTCCCTTTCCTTTCCTTTTTTTATTTTTCACATTTTTATTATTTACTAGTAGTTTAACTTATATACTTCACATACTAAATATTTATTATATGTAATTAAAAATTACATATACAAATAAATAATATACTTTTTTTTATCATTGGGAATTATAAAAGATACATAATTAAAAAAATATAACGAATCTTTGTATAGATAAATATTAAATTCATGATAAATAATTTATATTATCACTTTTTTAACAATTGATAATTTATTTTATAAATTAAAATTTAATTTATAAATAAATATGATAAATAAAAATTAAATTAAATAAATAATTAAAAATTCTTAAAAACCTTTTCCATCAAAAGAAAAACACTTAAAAACAGTTATATTAAAAGAAATTTAAAAATATTCTCACGAATTTAATATTCAAGAGTAAATTTATAAATATCGTTTTAACTTTTTGAAATTTTAATTTTAATAGAAAAAAAAAACTCTTACATAAAATTAAATTTATAATTTTAGTTCTTAAAATATCATTTTGTAGAATTTTGGTCTTTAAAATGATACATAAAAAACTGTTCCTTAATATTTTTTTCACATCTAACACACGTGTCATGTCAACGATTTCAGTTAAAGAAAAAATAATTGAACGATAGATTAATAATAAGCCAACGTTGCTGGATATAAAACCTTGTGGGACGAATGTGCAATAAATATCTTTTAGACCAAAATTCACAATCGCAAATTATTATAACAACCAAAATGTAAATTGTGAATTTAATTTAATCCGATAATATACGACACATCGATAAATGCACAATAAACGAGGGACTATAAACGAAATATAAACGATAAGTTCGTCTAACTGCATCATCCTCACATTTGTTTCTGAGAACCATCGCACGGACTCTTGCTTTTACAGAACCGAAGAGGAAGAAAGTGCCAAAGCAGTTGCAACGACGTCGTTCTTCGCAACTTCGATTTTCTTCCCTCTGTCTCGTCTCGCTTGATCCTGTAAATTTTTCATTTTTTTTTATTTTCCAAATTAGAAAAAGAGCATTTTTATTTGCTAAAACAAAAATTGAATCGTGATTTTGATTTAATGTGCCCAGTTGATAAATAGGTGAGTATAGAATCATTGGGGCGCAAGGGATAGTGCAAACTTTCTTAGTCCATTCGTGATGCAATTTTTCCCTTTACTCCTGCTTCCTAGGTATAAGGGATTTTTCCTTAGATGTTGTCTTTGCAGTAAAAATATATATATATATAAATAAATTACATGATTAGGTTAATGTAGAAAATTAATTGGATTTAAATGTGTGTGAGTGTGTTTAATCAATGAGGATTAATACATTTTTGCAATCGGGTTTTGCTTGTTCATTTATTGAGTTAATGACAATGACTAAGGAATCAAAAGTGAAAGGTTTTATTGGATTGTGTGGAATTTGATTTTAGTAATCCATGTAACGTGATTTCTTATAAAAAGGACCTTTTTATTGTTTCATTGATCATTGTTCTTAGGATAATGGTTAGGAAAACCGTTATTTTGTTTGGGAAATTTTACTTAAAATCGAAAGTGTAATTGAATGCAAAGATTTTGTTTTGATGTTTTGGCAGGCTCTTGTTCTTGATGAACATGACACCAGTTTGCCCCTTTGTCAAAGCTGCTCGCCCTGATGATAACAATGCCTCCAAAAAATCAGGTGAAAATTCTATGAAACATCAAGTTGAGTCTGAGAGTAAGGTGAAGAAAGAGGTTAATGACTCGGCCAGTGCCTCACCGAAGTGCCCTTTTGGATATGACTCACAAACATTTAAGATTGGCCCCCTTAGCTGTATGGTATGCCAGGCACTTCTATTTGACACCAGCAAATGTGTGCCTTGTTCTCATGTTTTCTGCAAGTATGTATTCTGTCCTATGTTTATTTCTTGAATCTATGTTGCGTTGCATTATGCATACTCTAATTTTAGCTCAATTCTCATATTCTACTTGTCTGAAATTAGAGCATGTGTGTCACGCTTTAAGGACTGCCCTTTATGTGGAGCTGATATTGTGAAGATCGAGCCTGATGCTGATCTGCAAGGTGTAGTTGATCGCTTTATTGAAGGTCATGCTAGGATCAAAAGATCTGTTAGTTCAGATAAAGGAGAAGAAGCAGCAGAGAGTAAACAGGTCATATATGAGGATGTGTCTTTGGAAAGAGGTTCTTTCTTGGTGCAACAGGCCATGAGGGTAAGTATGGTCTTTTATATGTTAATGTCATATGTTGTATATGAAGGATTAAATGGTGAAAATATTTGTCCTTAAATGTTAATAGCTGTTTTTGCTGAACTGGTATATATAATTGGATGTGTTGGAAAAATATCTTTATCTGGAAAAGACATTGATATTAATAACTGCTGCTCTGCTTAAGCTACTGGCTTTTGTTTTACCAAGTTACGTTTTCAACTTTGTGGAGTTTGTTCTACTACTTGATGATGAGTATTTTTCCCTATGCATTTCAAAAACAGGCATTCCGTGCTCAGAATTTAGAAAGTGCTAAATCAAGACTCAGCCTTTGTGCAGAAGACATTCGTGATCAGTTAGAAAAAGATGGTAACACTTCAGAGTTATGTTCACAGCTTGGAGCAGTCTTGGGTATGCTTGGTGACTGCTGGTATGTTTTCTTGCTGTTCTCTCTAACCCCTCCACCCTCCCCCCCCC